GGGTGGGAGGAAAAAAGAAGAAAAATTAGCATTTTTGGTGTAGTAATCCTTACCAATGTTACAACAGGAATTATTCAACAACTATAACTAGTAACACACCAAAAACTACCATAACTGTTAATGTCTGAGTTGTCTAGGACAAAATAAAACTTCCCGTATAATCCTTTCTGGCATTATATTTATTTAAACATATAGGAAAATTGGAAAACATTCCTGAATCTAGAAACAAAGACAGTAATTTGGAATTGATTCAAATTTTAAAGGCAAATATGGGTGTCATAACATATGTAATTTAAAAGATATGATTTAGATTTTGAAATTTTCTGAAATATTCCCTCCTATCAATACAGGAAAACTATGCACAAGGTTTGCTATCAAGCTGATCTTTGGCTTAACATGTGCGTGAGCCTAGACCAGCGTGGCTCAGTTGGTTGGATGTTATCCATTGCACCAAAAGATTGCCAGCTGAGTCTCCATCAAAGCACATGACTGGTTGTAGGCTCTATCCCCGGTAAGAGGCATGCAGGAGGCAGCCTATCGATGTTCCTCTCCTTTCCTCTCTCTCTCTAAATATGTATGTATGTATGTGTATGCGTGTGTGTGTGTGTGTGTTGGGTATATAAATATTTTTTAATATATTTTATTGATTTTTTTACAGAGAGGAAGGGAGAGGGATAGTTAGAAACATCGATGAACGAAAAACATTGATCAGCTGCCTCCTGCACACCCCCTGTTGGGGATGTGCCAGCAACCAAGGTACATGCCCTTGACCGGAATCAAACCTGGGACTCTTCAGTCTGCAGGCCGATGCTCTATCCATTGAGCCAAACCAGTTAGGGATAAAATTATATATTTTTAAATGTGTGTGAGAATGGAGGTGGAAACAATTTAAGACATTTTAACTAAAAATTATATTGCAAGCAAGCAGAAGGAAAAATTAAAATGTTACTTAAGCACCAAACAGTACATTAGGTTAACTTCACTAACAAACAACATACTTGTAAATTATCACAAAATAAGCAGCCTTTCATGCTCTAGAGAAGTTAGGTTATCTGAGAGAAGACCACAAAGACTGCAAATTATAATGCTCCTTATACTGTAACATTTCACCTCTCATAAATTTAACAACATACATCTGGAAAATTTAAAGATAAAATTGTTAGCAACTTGTTTTATTAATATCATCACATGAGTTTGTGGCTATTTTATCTTAACTAAATTATAATCAAGTCATTTACAAACAAACTCCTATAAGATCAATTTAATAAGAAACTCAAAAGATGCTTCAAATGACCAACTTTATGACTAAAACTTTGTCCATTCATTCAGAGCTATCCATTTTATGCCCAACAGAAATAAGAGACACTTGAAAGGCCAAAAGCACTAGAAAGAGCTAGGGGATATTCTAGTATTTTCCTTCTTTCTCTTAAGTAATGGTGCAGACGGGCAAGAACAAAAAATAATACTTCAAAAGCTAGGTATCTAAGACAAATTTTTATAAGGTGTTAAAACTCCATTTTGAAAACTGTCCACATTATGCTACTGTAGTAAGTATATACGTACTCCAAATTCCACATGATGACTTAATTCTCTTAAGGCACACTTTTTCAAGGGTCCTATTTTAATTCTTAAAAGAGAATGGTTCTTGCCTATAGCACTGTTTTATTCTAACAAAAGACTGATAAAAAGACTAGTAATGTATATTTTCAAGTTACTCTGCCACAACAATCAAACAAGTGCTACTTTTAAAAAATATTTTTTAATTCATTTCAGAAAGAGGTAGGGGGAGGGAGAGATAGAAACATCAACGATGAGAGAGAATCATCAATCAGCTGACTCTTGCATGCCCCCTACGGGGGAATCAATCAAGCCTGCAACCCCAGCATATGCCCTGACTGGAACTGAACCTGTGACTTCCTGGTTCATGGATCAATGCTCAACCAATGAGGCACACCAGCTGGGCACAAGCGCCACTTTTTCATTCAGTTCCTCAATGGGAAGCTGAAGAGTAGGGTGAGACAACACAATAATCTATAATAATAAAAGCATAATATGCTAATTAGAGCAGACATCCTTCTGGATGTCCTTTTGGACAACCTTTCGGATGAAGCTGGGGCTGTGAGGGCTGAGGCAGCTGCCACAGCTGCAAGGGCCAAGCCCCTTGCACGAATTTCGTGCACTGGGCCTTTAGTGTAACCAAAGGGTTTCTCGTTTGCTTAACATCTTTCAGGCAAAGCTACACATTTCTGGCTGAAAATGAATTTAACCACCATACAAATTATTGCACAGCATATCAATATTTTCAAAAGTTAATCGGCTTATTTCATGTAATTATACTTTATTTCCCAAGTTTAAGCACAACCTCTGTCCAAGACTACAATGTTCATGATTATCTTCATCTGGTCTCAGATACACTATCCACGTAATAGCCTTACAATGCCGTTTTTCCTTTTTAGTAAACTTTTGAAACAAGTTTGCATGGCATAAAGAAGAAAAACCAGTATTTCTTTCAAACTAGCTTAAAAGAAATGGTCCTTTGAGCATTCAGTCGTTTTTGAACGCTCCAATAATTATTCCATCTGTTTGATAAAAAAGGCTTTCTGATTAAAAATAAGTTATTCGCCCTAGTTGGTTTGGCTCAGTGGACACTGTGTCAGCCCACAAACTGAAGTGTCACAGGTTTGATTCTGGTCAAGGGCATATACCTTAGTTGCAGGCTCTATTCTCTTGCGGGAGGCAACCAATCAATGTTTTCTCTCTCACATCAATGTTTCTGTCTCTCCCGCTCCACTCTCTCTAAAAATCAATGGAAACTATCCTTAGGTGAGGATTAACAATAAAATGAAGTAAAATAAAAATACCAAATATCTCAAGGACTGGTAGCATTTGTGAATATAGCTGGCATAAAATAGAATACACAGTGTTGAAAGATATCATTAATGATCATATTATGTCAGAAATACTGGAATGTTTCAAAAACCATGATTTGACTGGTGGTATATCTAGATTAGGATAGGGGGAGGGAAAGTAGGGATGGTTTGCCTATATATACACATTTTATTCTTCTATATTCAAAATAAAATTCCATTGTATTGGTTTGAGGAGGGTGGGAATAACATTAATTTCTTTAAAGTAATTATATCCAATTAAATAAAAGATGATCATTAACCAATACCACCCCAATGAATTTAATTTAAAATAAAATAAACTATGACTGATTAACCCCTTCCCCAACAATTTTTTTGTTAAAAACGTTTCTTTTTCAGATTAATTTTTTTATTTTGGTTCTATATAGTATTTTTGATGCTGGTTATGAAAACAGCTTGTAATTATTTTTTCTTCCCATTTTTGTGGTTAAGAATAGTATTTCCTCAGAAAGTTTCTAGATGAAATTATTTAGAATGGTACGTACGTAGCTGGTTTTTGAAGGTAAAGTTTTAGACGAGTATACTCGTTGACAACTGAAAAAAGAACATTTTGTGAAAACGTGTATACACGTTTCTGCCGGGGAAGGGGTTAAACAAACAAAAAGAGGAGCTTCTGAAATATTATCATTTGAAAACAGTTTATACTGTAAACATTACTTCTACCCAATCTACAAATAAAATTATTATGTTTCAAAATATGAGTTTAATATTATAATACAGGGTTATTTCAGTATGGAATGAGGGCATTTGTTTATTTACCTATTTAAAACAGCAAAACTAGTTTACATTTATATAGTACTACATTTTTTCAAATGCATAGTTACATGATCATAACCATAAACCTGGCAATAATACCTTCCCCACCCACCTCATTTTATGTATCAGCAAACCCAGGGAGATAAAGTGACTTGATTAAGGTTCCATGGTAAGTGAAAAAGGTGGAACTAAAGCCTAGAGTCTGATTCCTTGTATACCTCCCAGGGAAACAACTATGTAAAAAAAATTTCTCTGTATTTCCTTTTTTTCCTTACCCTTATTTTCTTTTTCTTTTTAAAATGGTTTTCATCTGTTCAAAAAAGGTTTAAATGTGACTGCAAGTCTTTCATTTGTCATGTGACTATTATCTATGTCTCCTTAGGAACTGGTATCTCTAACAATATCCTCCAGGAAAACTGCAGTAATGATCACACTAAACTGGACATGGGGAAAATAAAACTAAACCTATATAGGTACTCACTTGTAACAATATCTATTTTTAGAAAAAGTTCAAACTATAAAATGTAAGAAGTCAAGATTTTACCTTGGGGATTAAAATGTCTTAAGTGCACTCATACACTATTGGTAAAAATATGAGTTGGTTTACCTGCTCTGGAGATCGTTTTGCCAAAATGAACTTACCCTACTGATATGCCTAATAAAGAACAATAAGATGTATAATGTTCATCACCACAAAGTTGTTCACAGCAAAAAGTTGCGCCGAAACCGGTTTGGCTCAGTGGATAGAGCGTCGGCCTGCGGACCGAAAGGTCCCGGGTTCGATTCCGGTCAAGGGCATGTACCTGGGTTGCGGGCACATCCCCAGTGGGGGATGTGCAGGAGGCAACTGATCGATGTCTCTCTCTCATCGATGTTTCTGACTTTCTATCTCTCTCCCTTTCTCTCTGTAAAAATCAATAAAATATATTTTAAAAAAAAATTTAAAAAAAAAAAGTTGGGGAGAAATTTAAAAGTTCACCATTTAATTAGCTAGGAATGGAAATAGAGTTCTTCCAAGCAATGAACACTATTAGTCCATTAAAAAAATGAGTGGCACAGGCCTGGTCGTATTGAGAAAGAAAAAATACATACATAC